ACTAGGCGAGCCTCTATTGGGCATGACAGCCTATCCCCGTAGTAAAACCGAAGCACTTTGCCGGGCTACCAGGGCAGCACTTCAAATGAACCGGAACAGGACGGATGAGTGGATTTGAGCGTCTTCGATTTCATCGGAAGTGGTGGCAGACTAGTCTATCATGCACACTTCACACTCACGCCTTTTGCGAGAAAATTTTCACCCATCTTGAATATGCTAACCTCCGAGAAATTCACGTTTTAGGGTAAAAAAAATTGTATTGTGAGGCAAAAGTTCCAGTCACATCGTTCTCCAGCTTTCGAATATAATTTAATACATACACTGTTTCTGGATTGAATTCGCATACCACCTGCCGGGGGAGAACGAAGGAGACAATTCAGATTGTTGGTGCCATCTAGATGAAATAATTGGCACAATTTTTGCAAAATTAGGCTTGATAGTTTTTTGTATAGGTCTATCCAGTTGCCAATACAAGATCTCCTGACCACCGATACTGAAATGGACAGAACTTCAAATATGGGGGCCATGCATTATGAAGGGGGTGTTCCAGATTTTGATTATATGATTGTGTATGAAGATATGGGAGATAGGGGCCGTGGAAATATGTACTTGACTGTACATACCTTAATATTAGGAAATACTGTGCCTTGGAATTCATTCGATTTTGTAAACAGGACATCCATGTTTGCAAACCCATTGCATAAATGCTTATTCTCTTGAGCATTACTGTCAGTCTGCAGCGGTTTTGTTAAATCCTAGGAGGAATTGAAACGGTTACAAAACAATCTGTTATCAAATGCGTAGTTTATTAATGAGTCTTACATGAAAAAACATTCGAGGCCTGCAATCAACAAGCAAACAATTTGATTCAAAGTTGAATCAACATAGAATGAACATTCGGAACGTTGATACAACGTTGGTACAACATAGACTTGTTTGTTGGGAAGTACGTGGCGTAATGATGCAATATAAGAAATTCCAGCATACTCTCCAACTAGCATTTCCTGTTGGATCCCATTGGAATTTTCCTTCTGGTTAGACAGAATATTCCCGCTAGAAATTCAAAGCTGGCGAAGCCCGGCTGGATTTAGTTCGGTTTCCAGACTGTCTTTTTCCCGCTGGAGAAATCCCGAACAGTCTACTTGCATCCAACCACTACATCCAGCAGGAATTTTTTTCCTGGGAACGTGTTAAAACATCGTAACAATATGAAGGTGTACAGATCAGTCTAGATAGTCTACTTTTCATGCATAAAATGTCATCTGGGAACCCTTATTGGTTTAATGGTTATAGTCTTGTGATACATCTCAATTCGCATGCCAGGCTTTATTTTGGAATATTTTGGATCGATGGAATTCTTTTTGAGAGGGGCTGGGGTGGTTTCTTACGCTCAGGTGAGCGTTGAAGACCCTCGGGGCATTCCGCGAGGAACGAAGTACCTTAGACACCCTGTATACACTATTTCAAAAAATTCCAATTTGTTTTTGGTAATTACGAATGTGTGATTTAATGGATCAGATCGGTCCAATTTTGGGAACGTCGAATGCGAATAGATATCGGAAGGATTTTGCCGATTTTGAAAGATATTGGTGCCTTCGGTCACGGCTTCTGCTCATAATGGTTCCCTTGTTCTGAAACGCAACCATGCAGCAGCTGCATCAATTACAGGATTTCTCTATTGATGATGCTCTGCTTGTAGAGACCCCACTCAAGCGGCAACTATGTTTTTCAAAATTATTATTAGCATTTTAAAATGAGATCTTCTTGATTCGGTGCACTGAAGAAATGGATATACCAATGGTTCCACATATCTCCCTTCTCCTTCGTTGGCTCTGTGGATTATCCCGTGCCTTAAAACAAGTCCTCCCACCTCTTCTAGGCCTCACTGCACCGGGAGAGTCAGACGCTTCAGTAGGGGTATCTGCTACATTTCCCCCCCCCCCCCTTGATTTGAGCCAGTTTAGCACGTGACACAATCGGTCGATTTCCCTCAAATTCGGCACAAACTTTCTCTTATATATACATTACAATTTACTATTAATATAATAAATAAACTATTTGCTCAGTCTTTCTTTAAACACCGAGCAGTGGCTCCAACAGTCACATGGGTTCGGTAGAAGTACCGTCTACCTGTCGGGGTCGTTCTCAGGTGGGCATACAAATGTGGTGTACATTTTGGGTCTAAACGCCTTCAAGTTCTGTATTTAAATGTTCACGTGCAATGCATTTCACGAAAACGGAAAGGAAAGGAACGTAATTTTATTTATTTGGCAAAGGAAGCGCGAATGAAACCATCGTAAAAGCCTCAAATAAAGAAATTGAATTAGCCGCATCCAAATCCAAACTTACCCTGGCGCCAAATATCTGAAGGTTTGGATCATTGATGAATGACCTGGCAGACCCGAGGCGAACGACGGCAAAGAGGGCGAAAATGACTGCAATTCGCTTCATTTTCATGGTCTGTTCCGAGAAAGTGACATTCTTCGTGAAGAACGGAAATAATGCACAGCAAATAGAAGGCACCACCTGGCACCAAATTCCTGTAGGTATAGATTCTTGCTGAAGTACGAGGCGGACCCGAGCTGAACGAAGGCAAAAAGGTCGAAAATGGCTAGGAATCGCTTCATTCTCACTGCCTGTTCCAATAAAGTGACGTCATTCGTGATAAATTTGGAGTGCGTTGCGAATAGAAGGTGCCATATCAAAAACACAATATAAAGTACAGATATCGGTGGAAGGCTTGAATGAGACCACCTGGAAGTCAACGTGGCCTGTCATTAACACCTAAGTGTTGCCTACGTGGCTTTGTACCCGCGTGGACGTATACAAAGGGAGAATCAATATTTATTCAAGGAAATACGAAGTAGACTTATATGCTGTCGCCGAAAACATTGATCTCAATTGGGCTGGATTTATCTTAGACAGGGCCGCATAAGGGGGGGCGACATCGAGGACAATCTGCCCCTAGCCTCGCGTACCAAGGGGCCTGAAGGGGGCCTTCGGTTTAATTTTGCCCCGGGCCCTTGGAAACCTCTGGGCGGCCCTGATCTTAGATGGAAAGAAGTAGAAGTGCTCCACACGGCTCCACATCGACTTCGAAACTCAGCCGATTCGGAACACGAAAGCCTTTTAAGGATTTTATGCAATGAGGAACACTTTCAGGAATCCCTGACAATTAGTACCAGCAATCAGATAATAAAACTAATGGTTCGTTCCCAAATAATAATTATTTTATTGATTCGAAATCAAGACTTTGGGTCTCTTAACGAATTTTATATGAATTTGTCGTCAAATGAAGAGCTTCAGAGTCGCAGATGAATGCTAATTCCGTCCAAGAAGAGAAAGGGTGGGAACATCCCGAATCTCAAGAGTGTATTCCTGTGGGGGGGGGGGAAGAATTAACGGGATATAAAGGGCCTCCATAAAGTGATGACGGAAGAGCCACTTTTTTTTAGCGTTGAGTCTGAATAGAAGAAAGGTCTGAGAAATCGATTCGGTTACTCAAAGGTGGGGAAAGGAAGTTCGTGAGATCATACTCGGGTCCACAAGCTTTCAATCTATCTCTTTTTTGACCGATGGAACACTTTTCTAACATAAAATTGGAACATAAAATGTTTCCTTGGATGCTGCTCGAAGGAGCAAGGGCTGAATTTCAGGTTCAGATGAATTTTTCTGTATGTAGCGGACGTAAAGTTAAAAAAAAAAGTATCTTGTTTTATCGATGCACCTGAAAGAGGAATGCAACTTACCAAAACGAGAGAATTGTCTTTTTCCCTCATCACATGGGGATATTTGAAATTTCGCCCTGCCCAGCCTCGCCCTGACATTTTGCGGTCAATTGGGTTTTTCCGCTTTCTCTAAAAGTTTGGAGGACGATATCTCGCAAACTGCAGATCCGATGGAGGCTATTCTATTTTTTTTTTTACGGGGTTGTAAGATTAACTGTAATCGTTGAGAATTTTTTTTTTATCGAGAAACCCGGGATGGTCGAATCGTCCTTTTATATATGCAGTATATTGGTTGCATTCGCATGGAATGACCTTTTCTTCTCACATTCCAATTTTTAGAGAAAATCATAAATCATCAGGCACAAAAAGTAAAAAGTGTGGCCTAGTTGATACTGAATGGCCTTGAAACGATCCAATTAGGACGGTTGAATAACAGATTCGCTTTTCCCATCCGTTAGAAATCTATATTTTCAGTTGAATATAGCATTTTTGCGAGTTTCAAGCTTCGAAAATGTATGCATTTGGCACGGTTCCTCGTTCGCCACCCAGTCCAAAATGCGCCACGTGCCCTTCGTTGCGAGCCGTTCCACCCCTAAAACTGGATTTTGCGCAGAATGGGTCTCTGTGGTCCTCCGTGGTCGGATGGCACGGCAGCACGAAATTATATCGAGAATAGAACTTGGGCCTCCTGATTGTCGGTAATGTGTTCATCGCTGCACCACCGAACCCTGAACTTTCCGTAACCCCTCTCCATGCCATTCCCACCATTACGATCAGGATAGAAATCTCAATAACCGTCAGTCCAAGCTCAGCGAAGTAACTCAGCCTGAATCCTTATCACCGAAGAACAAAGATATTTCCCAGGAGTCCTCGATGATAAGATGGAAAACCATCGAGCAACTATTTCAAGAAATCTAAGGATTCAACAATGTCGTTGCTCTCGCGCGACAAGTATTTAAGGCAAGTTTCTCTCCAGAAATCGACCTGACAGTCGTTTGGTTTTAAGTTTCAATACCTTTTCACGAAACTTTCATCAAATTATTGGGGCATTCCCCTCACTGAGAATGGTAAATCGCCGTTTGGAAACCGAAGTACGATGTCGAAGAAAAGTGTTTAGGATTATTCTTTTTTAAATCTTGTTCGACCTTCCCCATTGGCCATTTCGTATCGTCTCATCCCATATGACCTTTGCTCGAGTTCACCAATGACGTTCGTTCAGATTTTTTGTCGCCTAATGAAAAAGACGCTGAAAAATAACCATTCCACTTTGTCCTGGCGTCCTGTATATTATTTATTGCAACACGATATCCTTTGTAAACTCATCGAGCTTCCGCTGTGAGTGAATCACGTTATGAAGGAACTGACACTCTTATTTAAAATAAAACAGTGGTTTGCATCTGTGGTGAATTGAAACTGGTAGTCAACACTCTTATATTGCAGGTCTGACAATGATATACTTTCTACCTCGCTGTATCCAATTCTCAATTGTCTTCTCGATCAATAATCTGAGGTGCCAGGGAAGGGGGTACTATGGGTGTAGATGTCCAGTGGTGGGGGCAGTGTCGGTATGAGTGTAGTTGCCAGGGGTGGTGGCGGTGTGGGCATGGGTGTAGATGCTAGGGGTGGTGGTGGCACGGGTGTTGGTTCTAGAGGTCCACACCTTGCAGCCGGCATTGGCTGGCCAGTCGCATACCTGAAGTGCAAAATAAATAAATATTGATGCAGCACTCCACGTTTTCAAATTTAGCAGAAATATGAAGGTGTAAAAATCAGTCTAGTTGGTCAAGTGGAAATCTTTAGCAATTTAGCAGATATAGTCTTACCATTTGCCATGCACCTCAATTCGTATGCTAAGCTGATATTTTTAGTATTTCGTGCCAGATGGAATTCTTCTCAAGAGAGGCAGGGACGATTGCATACCCTCAGGTGGGCATTGAAGTGAAGACCTTGGGGGCATTGCATGAAGATCGGAATACCCCAGTTACAAGCGTAGTAGCTCCCGCAGTCATTTGGGTTCGGCAGGAGAACAACATTGCCAGCGTTGTAGGGTGGACATTTCACTGTCGCAATGGCAGACCCGAAGTGAACGATGGCAAAGAGGGCGCAAACGGCTACGAATCGCTTCATTCTCAAGGTCTGTCTAAAAAAAGTGATGTTCTTCGTGAAGAGCGGAAAGAGTGCGCTGCAAATAGAAGGTACCATATCAAAAACACACAATATGAGGTACTGTACATACATCGCTGGAAGGCCTGAATGAGACCATCTGGAAGCTCACGTGGCCTGCTACTTACATCTAGGTGCTAACTACGTGGCTATGTACCTGCTTGGATGCATATAAAGAACCAATATTTATCTAAGGAAATACGCCATGGACTTTGACGCAATCACCGAAAAAATGTATAGAAAATTGGATGGATACGCTGTAAAAGAATTTCGGAAATATCCGAGTCCCCATCGTAAAAATTTCCGACTAAAAGCACGTAAACCTGCATTCCCTCTAATGGGCAGAAAATTTTTCCTGCATGTCTTCGGAAATCCGACTTTGGGTTTTATTTTCGGAATTTTCCCATTCTTTTCGCAAAATATTCCGTCTGAGGGACCTACGCTCGAATTCCGAAGTTTAAGCAAGCGATCCTTTTCGTCATTCGTGTCGGAAAAGCCTGCTTCGAATATTCTCGGAAAATCCTTCCTGATCATTCCGACCTTTCCGTATCGACACCTTAGGGAAGCCACTCGACACCTTTAGTTTACATTCCGGATGGTAGGTGGCTCCCAATAGCTTCCGATATCCCTTTATGACAACGTGATGCTTCCGAAATCGCCCCGTTTTCATTCTCAAGAAGAAAGGTATTTTCATGTTTATTTCCCTTTCGGATACAGGGGAAACGTAGAACATCACAGCTTCTTCATCCCGTTGGAAGAGGAACTGCTCTGAAACGATGGACGCCCTGCTTCACCGACATCATCTACATTTCCTGGCTGCCGACCGTCCGCACTTCTTGGACCAATTAAAGTGTAAAATATGCAAGACTCGGTGGTTCTCCTCAAGCATTCTCTCTTTGAGAAGAGAGAGGCGAGAATGAGTCGCGATCTTTTCCGAAAGTGATTATTAAGAGGTACTGAATAATCGAGATAGTGAATAAAACTTGATACTTCTCCGTGATAGGGATGCATCCAATACTCACGGATTAATTAGAGGAAGTCACGTAATGATAATGAAGTCCCATACATCGTGCAGTATTTCGAATGGAAAAGGAGCCTTTTTGAATAATAAAGGCAATTAATGAAAACCCGAATGAGACGGAAATTTACTTCCGCGAACGGAAATCCGATTCCGACTATGCATTGAAATTTTCCGGAAAATGAGAGGAAAGCTCCATTACTCGCTTTAGTCGGAGGGATGGATTCCGAGGATTTTTCGGAACAGCATGTTTACGTTAAGAAATAGGAGACATGGATTCCGCTATGAATCGGAATCCCTTTTTCCGCGCATTAGACGGAAACCCTGTTTCCGATGCCTTAGTCGGAATTATTTTTTTTTACAGTGTTCGGGAGTCCCTGACAATGAGTACATGTCATTAGGTAAGAAATCTAATGGTATGTGCCCTAAAAAAAATTATTTTATTGCACCTAGACTTTGGGACTTTTAATGAAATTATCGCAATCAATTTGAGATATTAAATTAATTTTGCAATAACGCAGGCGAACGCTGATTCTGACAAGTCCTCATCCAAGAAAGATAAAGCATCCCGAATCTCAAGGGGGTATTCCAGTGGGAAGAGTAAGAAAATTAACCGAATATACAGGGTCTCCATAAGGTGATGGAGGAAAAGCAGTTTTTTTTTTAAGGATTTAATCTGAAAGTACCAAGGGTCAGACAAATCAATTTGGTCACTCATTGTTATAAGGAAGAAAGATGTCTCACCGCCGTCGGGTCTACGAACAGTCTACACCACCAGAGGTTCTCGACCTTCTTAGACTGCTGGCACGCTTCCTTTTATAGACTGACGGCACTGACGACTTTTCACATTCCCCCGGCTGTGTTGATTTTTACTGCGGTTTCACACTTTATCTGTGACGCGTGCGAAATACCAATCCATCCAGAAAGCTCAAACTTTTCATGTTTGCATGTGGTACGTTTTGTGGTCGTATTTGTTTCTCCATCGGTGTTGATAGAACACCCGTGCGTTAAGTCACATAGAAATGATGGCATTTCGACGTACTGGGCAAACTTCCTCTCCGAAAATATATTACACTCTGAAATAAACAAGCTATACTTTCACCAAATCTGTTTTTTTTTTCCACACGGTTACGAGATACAGAAAATACCCACTGCTTTAAGTTACTACCCAAAGCAGTGGGTCTTTTCTGCCATACCATGCATGGGCGGCTCGTGATATTCAGCGGCACAGGCACCGACTTTTAAAAAATAATGGGGGGGGGGGGGCAAGTTCCTAATGCCCCTGATTCTAGGATCCATTGGGGTAGCTCAGTATTATTATGGTAGCATAATGACAAGCGGTGGGGGGGGGGCGGGCTGGGCATGGCCCTTCCACCCCATACCCTTACGGGGTGACACAGGGATCTCCTCCAGTTGGAGCTCAGAACAGAATGGAAAATCATATTTTTCGTTTCTTTCGTGAAGCAGCATTTGTTTTTAATTTTCCATGTGCAATACTTTAGTTGAAATTTTGCCATTCTTGGGGGGAGGGGGGGGGGGGCGTTTCCCCCTCAATAATATTATATATTTGGGGGGGCACGTGCCCCTTTGCCCCCCTGGGTTCGGCGCCAATATTCAGCGGTAGTGTATTCTTAATGGAGGGCCTACCCTGCCTCCATTGACGATCCACTACTGTTGAATATCACGAGCCTCCACTGATACCACCCAAGTAACACAAGATATTCCAGCAACGTTTAGGAAATGTTGATGAACAATGTTGCATCTATGTGTAAATGTCCAAAACGTCAACGTTGCTCAAATGTTGGGAAGGAACATTGCATTTACGTTGAAAATCGTTACTTATTCATTACATATATGTTGCAGAAACGTTTCAGGATTTATGTTGCTGAAATGTTGATTAAAAACGTTGCTTCACGGGCACCTAATCTGGACCTATATTGGCATTACGGAGAAGCTTAGGCTTCACTGGACCGATATTCGACCAATATTGAATTATTTATTTCATCATTTCGTACCATATACTTTACCTCTCTACCCAGAAATTCTCATCAACAGGACGAAGCCTGCACTGGTTTTACCCTCTACCCAAGCATAATACAGTATCTGTATCATGTACAGACAGGAAACAGTACATTTTTGGAGGTGATCTTCCCCTGGATGTGCTAAATTGCACAATACAGGAAAAGGTCCAACCGCAATGTTCTATGGAGTGTCCACGAGATCAATCCTTCGTTTCCTCAGCTAGTACCAAGGATGAGGATATGAAGTATTGAGATCGCAGACTCTCTACCATCATTTTTATTGCCCTGTAGGATGAATTCGATGAATTCTTGGAAAAGGGTTCTTTTTGGGAATATGAGCTTTTTTATCTTGACCCCATTAATCTGTCTGGAAAATGAGGATAACTGATGATGAAGTGTCCGTGTTCATTGATTCCTATAATGAGACAATGTGAGGCATATGGCAAAGTACTAGACATTCCAGTGCGGGACTATTCCAGAGAAAGGGAGAAGGGCACTTTTGTGTCCTGTGAGAAAGCGAGACTTACGTTTCCATCTCGTGGCAAGGAGGACAACTTTACAATTCTCTAAAACTTCTAAGTCCATGTTATATCAGAACGTTGTCGCTATGTTGTCGATGTCAAGAGTGTCAACATTCTTTCAATGTTGATAGCTAATGTTGCAATGACAATGTTGTACAGCAACTTGCAACATAGAGCAACATAGGCAACATTTCGAAAACGTTTCATCAACATACTTTGCTACTTGGGCATGTACTTCGAGTTTAGATGGGTGCTACATTTCTCCGAGATCTAGAGCTGACTTCGCAGTCGCTTCGCTGACGGTGACGGTATTAACAGATTCTTTGTCCTGAGACGATAAAAAGACTGAACTTGGCACTTTAACTTCTTTTCCTTCCTAAATAATTCATATACATTGCCCTCCTCCCCTCACTCTCTTATCTTTTTCATGTCCTTTCTTCCTTTTTCTCTCAATTTTTCATCACGTCCTCGTTTCAGACCACGCTTTGGCTTTGCATTTCTTCTTACAGTGGTTCGTTTTCTGGAATAATATTTATTTCAAATAAAGTGATTGGCAATATTCTCATGAAATAAAATTATTATTTGAACTCAAAATCCCAACATGAGATCACTTAACAGGAAATGTGAAGCGGTGAACTGTTATTCATACAAATTCAATACATGGGATGACGTGGTCCAAGATTCAATGTACAAGGTGGCAATAATAGATGTCCCTTGACCAATGGAGATGTGACAGACTACAGGTTTACAGCCAATAAAATTCCAATAGCCCATTTTATTTTTTAGTTGTTTTGCAAATAAAGTTTGAAATAAACTGTATTTTTCAGAAGAGTTCCACCCCGTTGACTGCACCCAAGACATCACTTTCTGAGAGGCCCATGATACTTGAGTGGCAAAACCACTGAAATGTTATTCACATGGGTAAGTCATTTTTTTTCTCGTGACTCTGATCACACCGTGCATGAAAGTCAGTCAAGTGAGAAAATGTCACCTTCAAATTAAAAAAAATACAGAATAATTTGATGAAAAAAGCACAAATATGGGGGCTTTTAGAGTATGCTAACTAAAGTACTGCGATGTACCACATCCTCTGCTGGCCATGGAAAGTACATCTATAATTGGCATCCTATATTTCGCCTGCAGTGGTAAGGAACACTTTTTTTTAAATAATAAATTAATATTTATTGTTCCAAATATATTATTCAAAATCACATCATGGAATTTGAAGAGCAAAAAAACAGAGGCAGTCATGCCAAATGCTCTCATTTACCAACAATTGCAATGCTTCGAGTCTTACAATACCAAGCTCTTGAAATTTTCATAGCATCATGACATACTATATGGGTCACGAAATAAAAGTGGCAAATGCGATGCAAATCATCTGGCAATGATGCTGTGACCGGGTGAAAAGTGTTGCCTTTTTTTTTTTAGCTCAAGGGTCATCATTGGATGGAGCAACGATTTTGGGATGAGGAATCCTCCTCAGCAGATGGAGGGAACTTGGGTTCCATTGTCTTCAGTATCTCTGCTCGACTCATCCACTTCTCAATCTGGTCAAACATAGGACAGAAATACTACATGCCATACTTATAATGAATTCTATCAAAATCAAAAGCAGCTATCTTAATCTTGTTCAGGGTTTGCCTTTCAAAAATTGGGACTATGAGATGGAAAGTATTCGTCATTACTTATTTGTAGGGCAGTACCGATACGAAAATTCGAACGATATGCCGAATCCCAATATTTTTTCTTATGCGTAAATGAAAAAAATTCGGTACATTTTATTTTCCCACTTATGAGGCTTTCATTTTGGGAAATTCCAGCTTTCCCCCCAAACAAAAATTTTCACATTTTTGGTCGGAACCTTTTCTGGTCTATTATGGTCACCAGCAGATGATGTGAGGGCGACGGAGAGAGAGGAAGTCTTCCCAGGGCAGTGGGATCAAACGTTTTCTGGGAATATTTATTTCCATTGCCCACGAAAGAGTTAACATGAATCAGGTACATCAGTCCTACATTAAGCACGAAGTGAAGAACCTTTACAATGAAATTTTTTATTATTGAAATCACGGGTTTTTCCAAAATTACAAAAAAATCACAAGTAGTGCTCCACACCACAGGAAAATTAGCCATAAATACCAGATTGTGTTTTCACAAAAGGTGTTATATTGTAAGGAAGATATTTATGTCACATCTGGTTTAGAACATTGTTTGAATCTACGTAACAGTACTGCTTTAGCATTGCACATGACTACAGTTGGAAAACGACAAGAAATCATGTACCTAGGCTAGGATAAGCCATATGGAGCACGTATTGCAACCTAGCGCAACGAACATTCGGCGTAGGACCATCATGCTGCACACGCGAAGGCTGCATCTACACTGTTTTCGGATTGAATTGATACCCCCCTATTGTGGAGAACGGAGAAAACACAAGCTTTCCAGACGATCCTGTAGATGTCAAGCCTGCTGCTCCGCACGGTTTTTGGATGGTTCTATTAATACTTCACCCTCCATCCGCAAGGTGTCCTGCCTGTACTCGATGGAAGCGCTCCTAGGGGGGGGGGGGGGGTTATCAATTCAATCCGAAAACAGTGTACAGGCCCATTTAATGGAAACAAGCCTATTCAAGGTTTCAGCATTTGTTTTAGAAAAATTCAACAAGGGCTTCTTAGATGATTCAATGGGAATGCAGCAGCCTCTCGCACGTGCTCCTTCGTCCGCTGCCATTTAACAGGAAGAAGTTGCGTTCCTGACTGTGCCTCGTTTCTGGCCGCGTGCTTTCAAGTTAAGAGTTCCGTTCTCCGGAATAAATGCAGATTGGATCTACTACTGTCTGCTAGTAGGAATTCCCCAGCCTGATACAAAATGCCAGGAAATCGAAGTAGGGAGAAGAGATGCAATGCGTGTTCGGCGCACAAAAATATTTAAACAATCGAAAAATCAACTACCCCAAAGATTGGTTTCGCCGATTCCATAGAAAACGCCTGAATTGGCCGATGTCCGATTTCCGATCTAAGGATCGATACAGCCCTACTTATTTGGAGCTTTTCATTGGACAATTAATTTTTTTTAGTGTTTCTTATATGTGACCCTGGACATGCCCAGTCCAGTACTGAGCTTCTTTTTGCTGAAAGTACGAGCTTAAAAAAAAAAAAATATATATA